TTAGGACAATATGGAGCAATATCCACTGATGGTTTCTGAGATGAGTCACAATTCAAAATGACTGGCACAAATACTCTCCACCAATCTTATTAAATATTCAATCTATATTCAAAGTTATTAAATATTGAACACCATTTAATAAGAACAAGAAGCTAATCAAGACTTCGATTGGTGGTAGGTTCATGAAAGCTTTTCGAGCAGTGGGTCTCAGCTTCCCAAAGCGGAGGCCCTTTAATGCAGTTCCTCATGTTGTGGTGACCCCGACCATAGAAGTATTTTCATGGCTACTTCCTAACTATGGTTTTGCTATTGCTATGAATCATAATGTAAATATCTGTGTTTTCTGATGGACTGAAAAAAAAAAAAAAAACCCTGTGAAAAGGTCAAACCCAGAGGGTTCGTGACCCATAGGTTGAAAACCATTGCTTCTCTCTGGGATTCATTCTAGTCTTTCACCTTTCTCTTTCTTTTGCTGAAGAGAATTATTTTTATTTGGGGTGTGTGTGTGTGTGTGAGAGAGAGAGAGAGAGTGCACGGGCAGAGGGCATGCCATACTACCTGTATGGAAGGCAACTTGTGGGAATTGGTCCTTTCTATTCACCATGTGGGTTCCAGGGATCAAACTCAGGTTATCTGGGTTTGCCACACACACCTTTATCTAATGAGCCATCTCCCTGGCTCCCTCACTCTCTCTTAGTGAGTATGAAACTTACATGATGTATGTGAGAATTTTGGGTTGATGTGGTTGTTGGGTTGTTACTATTTGTCTGGGGTGCTTATGACTTTGAATGTCATAGGTACCTGCATGAGCAGGTGTAGCACTGGTGGGCTACCTTATATTCTGTTTCTTTAATGGCTTCCTCCCTGTACCTCACCAATGGCCAGGACACTAGAGGTCCTGTGGTTTCCTATAGCCCAGGGTGGCTTTCACATGTGACTATTTCTCAGGGTTATGTTCAGCTCCCAGAGCCGAACATCTTCTTGTCTCTTTGCTGGTGTCACCCTGGTCCCCACCCCGAAGTGCAAGAAGACACTGCAGCACTAAGAGAAGACTTCTGCAGCTGGGCCTCTTGGTTACTTTATTTGGGTTCCTATATCTATCACCCTTCTCCACCCCAATCCCTTTCAACACCCTAACACTAGGTAGGCAAGAAAGAAAGTTAGAGGGGAAATGGGTCATAAACCTCTTTAGACTACTTCCTGCTGATTAGGGACATCGAAGTTTTGGGGGGCAAGTCCAATCTTCATCTCAGAACACCGAAACCAGAAATCCAGCAACCAGCAATCCAGCAGCAGCAGGAGGAGGCAGAAGGCAGCTACAGGAGCAGCAGCAGCAGGAGGAGGAGGAGCAGGAGCAGGAGCAGCAGCAGCAGCAAGAGCACCAGGAGGAGGAGGAACAGCAGTTGCTACAAGCCCTCTCGGGCTTCTCACATGTATATCCTCCCAGAATTCCAAATGTAAACTATTTGCAGCTAGCAAAAGCCACTCCCCTCGTAGAGCATGAGACAAATCATAGTTAATAGCTGTGGATAATCTGAAGCAGCCCCATATCCCACATTTGATTGAAACAAAGCCATATTCATATAACTACAGACATTTAAAGAAACCAAAATTCTCCCTATGGACTCTGAGGAAGCTTGAGCTTTATTCTGGGTCTGCCACTGGTTTTGTGGCTTTGAGTAACTTACGCTTTTGCAGCCTCAGTTTCCCTTCTTTAAAGGAGGAATGACAGCACCCGCTCTATAGGATTGCTGTGACCTTATGTGTATATTTTATGAGTGTATAAGTGTATTAAACGTTTAAAGTTACAGTCTTCTTTAGCGTGTGTGTGAACGAACCACAGCACATTTGGAGGCCAAACCACACATTTCAGGAGTTGGTCTCTTCCCCCACCATGTGGTTTCCAGGGATACAACTTAGACTGTCATGAGTAGCAGCAAGCACCTTTACCCACGAGCCATTGCACTGGCTTAACAAATTGTAAACCTCTCATTCTTTTGATGAGGGAAGGCTCTATGCTAGATAGATAGATCTGAGGAGGGTAAGACATGGAACAGCCCCAGACACCCTAGAGTCAGGTGAGGGGATAGACACCCTTCCCCAGTGCTTTCCTGCCTCACGTTCTACCTGAAGAGTTCGAAAAGCCCCAGAGTTCTTGTCTTTCCTTTACCCGGCCAGTCCCGCATGTCCCTGGAGTCCCCAGTGGGTCCTCTCTGGGGGTTCTGAGAGAGTCTTTTTAGGAAAGGTGATCCTAGCAAGGAGACACAGGAGAGGGAAGGCATGAGAGGCCAGCTCAACAAAGAAGGGGACAGTAACCATTTTCTGAGCCCTGGGCACTCCTGTCTCTGGGATTTATTTCTAGGAAGGAGGAATTATCCCAGCTCAGCCAGAAGAGTTATGGCTTCCTCCCTTCCTCCTGTGGAAAGACACCATCCTTGTGCCCACAGAGGACAAACGCCAGCACAATGGCTTGAGCTGGGGTGTCTGCTCATGGTACCTTTTTCTTCTCCCCCAGGTTGAATGTATATAGCTTCTGTGTGCATGTGTCTGATGGGGCTGTAGCTCAGCTGGTACAGTGATTGCCTAACATGTATGATGTCCTGGGTTTGATTCCCAGCACTGCGTAAAACCTGGCATGGTGTCATTCACCTGTAATCCTAGTACTTAGGCAGTGGAGGCAGAAGTTCAAGGTCATCCTAGTTACACAAGAAGTTCAAGGGCAGCCTGGCATGGCCCAGTGCCGCCATATCCAGCAGAGTGTAAGCTTTTGGGTGGCAGGTGGACTTTTGTTTCAGATTCTACCCTTAGGCGAGTAACATAGTCGCAGACGTTAAACTTCCCAGATAAACTTGCAAGAGTTGGGTCAGGCCAAGTGCTACAATGTCTCTAGCAGGGGCCCCTTCAAGCAGGCTCTCCTGGCAAGTGAATGATGGATTGTGGGTTCCAGCCGACCTGGAGCTGACTCCCAGAGATGTTTGCTAAAAGTGCTTCTGGCTCTGTTGTGACATGTGTTCTTGGAGGCCTGCCACTGGGCAGGGAAAACCCAGCTTTATAGATCCATGCAGCTTTTTAGAATATGGCAGAGAACCAGGCACCCAGCCCTTCCCCCTCAGCCATCCTTAGACACACGATTCCGGCCTGGCGGCCTGTGAGTGCAGCAGAGGGACCAGAGGGGCAGGGCAGCCTGCTTTGTATTGCTCTTGAGTACCATGGTTATCCAGAAAGACCCACCCGCGTCCGTGAACCCACTTAGAAACGGGTACTGCCACACAGAAGTCGGGTGAGGGGCAGGGTAGAGGTGGAGCTCAGAACCCAAGAGCCACTGTGAAGATGAAGCAGTGCAAAGCCTAGTTTAATTTTAATTAAGTTAATATTAGCTGCAGACAATGGCCAAATACCACCGTTCACAGTGCCAGGAACTGGGCTTTGCTATTCTCAGAGGGCTTGTGGTGCTGTTAGTGTTCCAGTTTACAAACAAGGAAACTGAGGCTAGAGGAATTAAGTGACTAGTGTCACAGTGAGTGGAGCTGGCCTCCCCGAATGAGAGTCACACCCTGTGGGGCTGTGGACTCTTTCAGTGTCAAATTTTGTCTCCTCAGATGGGAACTGAATATATCAGCTAGATAGTGGGTCCTGCATAGGAGGGCACTAGAGAGGGGGCAGAGAACTCCTTAGGTGCAGAATTTAAGGATGGACTCACGGTGTGTGTGTGGGGGTGCAGTATAAGTACAGGCGTGTTGGCTAAGGGCCTCGCCTCGCCCTGTCTCGGCCACCACCACAAGCTCTGCTTCCAGCTTGTGAATAAGAGGCCCAGGCATCAGCTGTCTATTCGATTTAACATTCCAAGGTGAGGAACGGCTGCGGATGTTGGTGTGGGGCTTTGGGGCCTTGAAACCCCAAAGCAGAAAGATCTCCTCTGCTCACACTGGTAGTGGGGGCCGGGGTGGGGCGGGGCAGGGCAGCAGTTATGGGTAAACCCTGGCTTGGGAGAAACGTGGTCTGGCGCTTCTGGAAAGAGCTTCTTCCTCTGGCTGCACAGGAGCCTGTACCTAGTGGCTTATCCCCCAAACCACAAACAATATCCCTGCTTTTTTGGTAAAATTCTTCCTCCAGGTGCACGCCACCTTCCCCAAGTGTGGACTCCTCACTTGGGTTTGAGTTCAAGGGAAGGAAACACCCCACCATTTCCACCTCTGACGAGCAGGGAGGCAGGAGCGAGCCTCTCACATCTTGGAGAGAAGAAGGGGACGGAGGGCTTCCTGTGCCACTCGCAATGGCCAGGCGTCCCCACCACCGGGCCAGGACCCTCTTGCTGTAGCTGTTTGTGGCCTAAGGTGTCGCAGCGGGCTGGTCTTCCCGGTGCCTCTGGGGGCGGTGCCAGGCCTCCGAGCCGTCATTAGCAAGCACCCCTCTGTGCTCCCCGTCCCTGGTTTAAAGCCCTGCCCCAGGCTGCAGGAAGCAGAGCTGGTCGAGTCCAGCCTTTGGAGCTGACCACGGCATGGCAAGTTTTTGCTCTGGGACTTCAATGTCTGCGCTTCACCACGTGCGGCTCAGAGCAGCTGTTTCTGTACACTGAGTTCTTTGCTTTTTTTTTTTTTTTTGCGTTTCCCGGGTCCCTGTCCTCGGCTTGTCAAAAGCTCAGTTTGGGGCATATTCCTTGTTCCCTTTTGTCCCGGGCTGCCTTGCCCAGCCAGAGCTTCTAGAAAGAATAGGTGAGGAGGCCACTCCGATCCACCGGGAGGGAAAAAGAAAGAAGGGAAGAGAAAGAGGAGACAGACACGAGGGGTTAAAAGGAAGGGAAATTCAGAAGAGAGGGAGCGGGGAGAAACGGTAAAAGAATGAACGGAGGCAGAGTAGGGAAGTGAGAAGAGAACCGAAGGAATGAAAGAAGGCCACCGGCGGAGAGAGCCAGGAAGAAGAGGGAGCGACTGCGCGCGATCTCGGGGTCTGAAAGGACCAAAGAGGGAGGAAGGCGGAGGAGGGAGAGCGGAGGGAGGAGGGCGGAGGGAGGGGCCGAGGACGCAGGGGGTGGGGGCTGCCGAGGCAGAGTCGCAGCGGCTTCAGCCTCCTGTTCGCTCACTCGTTCTCAGTGCCCGGAGCCGGGTGCCCGGCTCGTGGCGGTTCGCAGCTCCCGCTCCTGCTGGGGACCTGCAGGGCTCCGGACCGCGCGGCCGGCCGGGAGCCCCGGGCGCGCCGCGGATGCAGGTAGGTGGTTGGGTGGGGTCCACGGGGACCCGGAGCCTCGGGGCGCTGTGGGGACGCTGTGGGGACGCTGTGGGGACGCTGTGGGGACGCTGGGCCGTGGTGTGGGCTCCAGCCCAGGGGAGGGGGCTTGGCGGCACCGCCACTAACTTTCCACCAGCCCCGCGGGCCCCCGGGCTGCCCCGCCTGGTCAGGGCCGGGGGAGGCGAGGCTGGCCGGGGCCGAGGGGCCGGGGGCTGGCGGGAGCGCCGCGGGGCTGTGCGCGCCGGGGAGAGCCTCGCCGGCCGGGCGCGTCCCCCGGCCGCAGTCGGGACGCAGCGCCACCGCGTTTCCACGTGCGGGGGAAGAGCCGGGAGTCGCGGGGCGGGGGTCCGGAGGGAGAGCCCCGCCGGCTCGGCACGGCTCGCGGACTCGCCCGGGGCGCGGGACACCCGCCCCGCGCCGCGTCCTCCCGAGCCGGGTCCGGACGCAGCGCTGCGCGGCCGCGCGCAGGTCCCCGCGGAGCCCAGTCGGCGCCACGCGCGACGTGGACTCACTCTTTTCCCCCTTGTCCTGCCTCCCCACTCTCTCCAGGAGAACCCCGGGCCCTCTGCAGTCCTGTCGGTCACCCCGACGACCTACCTCCCACCCTCGGCGGGGACTCCAAAACCCCAAAGTTAAAGGAGAAGCGAGTCACTCCTCCCGCGCCCGTGGGTGGCTGTCCCGAAGTTCCCAACTTCTCTCGCAGTCGTGGGCGGTGGAGCTGTGGGTGGGCAGACACGGTGGTCCTGGGGCGCAGCCACCTTCCCCCAAGACTTGCTTTAGTCTCCTAGTTTTTAGTGTGCGTGTGTGCGTGTGTGAAGAGGACTTACAAATAGGTGAAATCATTCCTTGCGGGACCAAGGTCGCGGGTGGGACCGTCCGTGGTCCGCGAGCGCCGGTCTCCGCCTGGCGGGTCCCGAGCCCTCGCACCCCCGCTTGCTTCTTCCTGGAACCGCCTCCCACGCCCCATGCGGCGCCGCGGGACTCCGTCCCCGTGAGCCCGGGCTGCGAGGCCACCGGCATTCTCCCGGGCTGGCGACGCTCTCGAGAGAAGCCGGTCCGGGCGACCGGGGTCGCGCGCTCCCCCACGCCCAGCCCCTCCGGGAGCCGGCAGAGCACCGAGGATGCTCCGGGGCGGCGAGAGCCCCCCGCCGCCCCGGCCCCCTGCCGCCCCGGCCCCCGGCGCGGGTCCTCGCGCCCGGCACACCGGCGCCCGGCACTCTTTCGAGTGAACTGGGGTTAAGGTCCCGGCCAGGTGGTGGCGCGCGGCCGGCGGCCGGGACCGCCGAGCCCGGCCCGGGGCGGGGGCCGGGATCCGCCGACCTCCCGCTTCCCCGCTTTCCGGGGTTGATGGACTGCAGTCCGGAGCGGGCTCCGGCGAGGCCGCACAGCAGGAGTCTGCGGGGAGGCCCGCCCACCGGCCCTTGCCCGCCCCTCCTCACCCCGCGCCCCGAAGGTTCAGTCCGGTGCCCCAGGGCATTGCCATCAGCCCCCTCCCCCAGCCTGGGATGGCGCTTCACCTTCTGTTCCTTTGGCGGATTTCCCAGCGGTGTGCACCAGGCATCGGCTCTTGCTGTTGCTGAGATATTGCTTAAACCGCTAGAAGATTGGAGCCCTGTAACTGCAGTCCTCCCCTTTCCTCCCATTCCTCAGAGCAGCCCCGAAGCCCCAGAAGCCAGGGACTCTTAGAGCGGGCCAGGGGTCGAGGGGAAGTGATTTAGCTTCCCCGCCTAAGGGCCGAGGACCTGTTCTGTCTTCCCATGCTGACTTCATCACTTTCTTCAGCTGAGGCAGGTGTGAGGCCGCTGCGGGATGAAGAGGCTGGAGGGCCAGCAGGTTGGAAGGTTAGAGGCAGGGCGCGAGCACCAGCATCTCCTGAGAGGAGCCGTGCCCACCGATGGCGAGTTTGTGCTCGCGCTGTGTCTGCTTTCAGGCGTCACGGACCTGGCTCTCGCGTGGCCCGTGAGGCGCGCGTGGAGCGCAGCAGGGGTTGCTGTGTAGCCGAGTAGGGCAGGCATCCTCAGCTGAAACCACTCCTGCGGGATCTACAGGGAGCCTCACAGGTGCCCCTGGAGAAGAAGGGATTCAGGAGCCCTAATTGCTAACCCCAGGCAGTGGAACGCTGGGCCGAGGACATCAGAGTCAGGGCCGATGAGGACTCGGCGTCCGGCCCACAGGTCCACCTTCACCTCTACGGAGGCGGAAGGTGAGCCCTGAGACCTTAGGGCCAGGGAGACAGCTGTGGAAGCTGCTGTGGCTGCTCTCCTCCGGCCTGTTTTCCTCACCCCTCCAGGTTTCATGCATTCCTTTGCTCCTCCCCAGCCTCACTTTGAGAAGGTGGGTGCTGGCAGGTGAGATGGCTCGGCTGGGCAAGGGGGCTTGCTGCCGAGCCCGACAACTTGAGTTGGATGCTGGAGACTCAGGTGGTGGGAGGAGAGGGACGAATCCCACGAAGCTGTCCTCTGACCTCCGCACGCATGCCCTGGCACGCCATGCTCTCCATAATAAATAAATAAAGAAACAAATAGATGCACGCAGTAGAATCTAGGTACTTGGATATTCTGGGCTTTGTATGAGTTGGACATTTCTCCTCCTAGGGACATTTGGGCAGCAGGTAGTTCTGCAGTTCCTCCTTGGGCCCAGGGACCCTGATCAGACAGCGACGGTCCCCAGCTCACTATGCCGACATCCTGGCTCCTTCCCTCCCACACTCTAGTGAAGGAAGAGACACGCCACCAAGGGCCTCTGAAGCACTGCTGGCGATGTAGCAAATGACCCCAGCACTGCCTCAAGTGGCTCTGCTCCGTGGTGACAAATGGACACAGTTGCCTATGAAGTTTGGAGACCTGGAACAGCAGTGTTGCTGACCTTATATGTGGCACTAGAGAGCTGCCCGGTAGAGCTGCTGCTGGTCAGGGCACGGCAGGAGGGAGCTGGTGCATGTGACAGCTGGGATCTTGCTAGGTCTCCATAGAGACCGCTGCCAGGTGACTGTACCTCTGAAGCTCCAGCACCCAGCTGCTTGGCAGGCTGTGGAGCCCCACTGTACAGACAGGCGGACCCCCGAGTCTATATGGGGACAGCAGTGCAGTCTGGGGGACTCCGCTGCTGCTGAGTCCAGGTGTCCCATTCAGGTTATGGCTCAGTCAGTAACGTGCTTACTGAGCAAGCGTGATGACCCGATCCTGAGCATGGTAGTGTGTGCTCCGTAATCCCAGCACTGGGGAGGCAGAGACAGGAGGACCCTGGGACCACTAGACAGACAGCCAGCCTAGCCTACCAGGTGAGTCCCAGGTCCCAGTGAGAGAACCGGTCTCGAAAACAAGGTGGACAAGCTCCTGGGATGACACCTGAGGCTGACCGCAGCTTTCTGCATGCACACGCGCATACACCGGCGTGTGCACAAACACCCATAGACACCTATACACACACGCACACACGTCAATAGATAAGCGTTAAAACCGAAGTCTTCCAGTCTGGGAGACTGACGGGGGTCGTTCTTTTGTAGCGGAAGGGCTTGGAGAATCACAGCTCCTTGGACCCGTTCTCGGCTTATCTCGTGATTCAGTGGGCCTGGGGTGGTCTTCCTAACTGCCATTTCTATCCAGCTCCCAGCCACGCTGATGTTCTCACTGTGGGTGTGGGGAACAGAGGCAAGGGGCTGATTTTCCTGCAGACCCTCCTGTTCTGGAGTGGGGGCTGGGGCAGGGCTGTGATTTAGCACCAGGGACGCCCAGGACGAGCTTATGTGCAGCCCCAGCCCCCAGCCCCCAGGTGGCTGTAGAATTAAAAGAATATTTTATCTTCATCAGCACACACACAGAGAATATATTGTCATGTAATTAGGGAATAAATAGGTGTCCCGCATTGGCTGCAGGCTCTGTGCCCTGTGGCTCTGTGGGGGTTTGTTAAAGTGGTGTTATAATCGAGAAGGTGTCACCTGGTCCCTGAGCACCTCATGAAACTTTCATAGCAGGGTGGTCATTGTCCAGAAAGGTGTGTCTTCTTCATTTTAGAGAAAGGAAGTGGGTTGAGGAGGTGGCTCAGCTGGTGGAGTGCTTGGAGTAGCTTGCTTGGAGCCCTGGGTTTGAACCTCAGCACAGAACAAACCAGGTGTGGTGGCACAGGCCTGTAATTTCAGCACTTAGGCAGTGGAGGCAGGAGGATGAGGAGTTCAAGGTCACCCTCCACTAAGCTGCAAGTCCAAGGAGTGGGCTGCGGGAGACCCTGTCTCCACATCGAGGAAGGGAGGGAGGATGGAAAGAATGGAAAAGAAGAAAGAGAGGAAGGGAAGACAGGATGGAGTCAGCATGACTCTTCTTCCACTGCTGGACTGCTTCATTTGACAGTCACCATGCAAGGTGTTCTTAGGGAGAAAGGGGGGCGGGAACCAGCCAGTGGGAGCTGGCTTTGAGGAGTCTGTTTGTTGACACCTTCTGTTGGTCTGTCTGCCTCTGACTTGGAGCGGAATCTCAGCGGGAGGGGAGCCTCTTCCATTGGTGATGGGGTCCATCTACCATGTGCATTAATTAGGTCCCAGAGAGAAGAATCATAGCAGAATTGTTCTCCCTAAATGCTGGTATTTTTCATCTGGATTCTGTTTATTGATTATTTTACAGTCGAGAAGGAACAACAATCCATGTTTCTTTCTTTCTTTTCTTTTTTTAAATATAACAAATAAAGCTAGCAGCAGTAATTATGCAGGCTCAACATGCCTGTTCTGGAGCATGAAGTTGGAATTCATTCAGCCTGAGTGGAACATTTGGGTGAGATCTAATTGAGAAAGACGTTTCAAAGAACAAATATTTAGGATGTCGAACTTGTGCTGATGGCCTCTCTGGGCCTGTGCGAGTACCTTGCATGTATCTTGATCTGCAAAGGTAGAGGAAGAGAATGGTAAGAGCACTGTCAGGATGTGAGGCAGAAACTTGGGATCAGCCAGGCTCAGAAAAGGGGAAAATGATAGCGTCACAGACGGCAAG